GAAATTACAGAGCGAGAAAGGTCAGCTGCCTCCTGGACCAGAAGTAAACTTTGATTGTCGGCCCACTGTGGTTTCTGCCGGACAGGCAGGAGCCCAATATAGACATAGACCCAAGAATGTCTCTTTTCCCCCGTGGAGATTTTTGTTTTAAATAGAACTTTATAAAGTGCCCATCTCAGGGCACTGATTTGTGCACTGATCTTTCAGGACGGATAGCCCAGGGCTTTCTTTTTCAAGCTTGTTTGTGAAAGGAGGGAGTAACAGTGACTGAGCAAAGGCTTAGATCCAGATGGGTAGCCGTGTTCGTCCCTTTTGCTCAACAGGGTAACTCCTGTAACGGCTGAGGAGTCCCACATCCTTATTAAGTTCTCAGGACGTAGTACCCAACTTCTACCTCAGCAAAAACGTTCTAGACAATGAGGCAGGGAAAAAGGCATTCCAGCTGACAGAGGCGAGGGAGAGACAGCCGTGACTTACCCCCTTTCTGTCCTTTCATTCTATTTATTTATTTATTTAAACATTTGTATCTCACCTTTCCTCGTGGTTCTAGGCAGCTTACCACACTAGTTAAAAACATTTTCAGTTAAAACCAAAATAAAGGAGCAAACACCGAATTTCTATACAGTTCGGTGTAGTGGTTAAGAGTGGCGGACTCTAAACTGGGAGAACCAGGTTTGATTCCTCACTCCTCCACATGCAGCTGCTGGTGTGACTTTGGGTCAGTCAAAGTTCTCTGAGAGCTGTTCTCTAAAGAGCAGTTCTCTCAGAGCTTCTTGAGCCCCACCTACCTCATAAGGTGTCTGTTGTGGGGAGGGGAAGGGAAGAGATTGTAAGCCGCCCTAAGACTCTGTATGAAGTGCAGGGTATAAATCCAGTCTCCTCCTCCTCCTTCTCCTCTTCCTCTTCTTCTTAAGCCGCTCTGAGACTCCGCATGAAGGGGCAGGGTATAAATCCAATCTCCTCCTCCTCTTCCTTCTCTTCTTCTTCCTCATCTTCTTCTTCTTAAGCCGCTCTGACTCCGCATGAAAGGAGTATAAATCCAATCTCCTCCTCCTCTTCTTCTTCTTCCTCCCCTTCTTCTTCCTCTTCTTCTTCTTCTTAAGCCGCTCTGAGACTCTGCATGAAGGGCAGGGTATAAATCCAGTCTCCTCCTCCTCCTCTTCTTCTTCCTCCTCTTCTTCCTCTTCTTCCTCTTCTTCTTAAGATGCTCTGAGACGCCGCGTGAAGGGCAGGGTATAAATCCAATCTCCTCCTCCTCCTCGTTTTCCTCCTCTTCTTCTTCCTCCCCCTCCTCCCCCTCCACCCCTTAAAAGATGCCTGCCAATTCAAACCTCTTCAAAAGCCCCAGCAAACAGGCAGGCCTCACAGTGCCTCCTGAAGCTCTCCAGGGAGGGGACTCCCCCTCCCCTCATCAGGGAGCTCATTCCACAGAGCCGGAGCCATGACGGGAAGGGCCCGGGCTCTGGTCAAGGTCAGACGGGCCACCTTAAGTGGCGGGATAGCCAGAAGGTGGCTGCCTGTCATCCATAGCTAGCATGCCCTGACCTGGATAGCCCGGGCAGACTCGATCTTCTCAGTTCTCAGAAGCTAAGCAGGGCCGACCCTGGCAAGAACTTGGATGGGAGACCTCCAAAGAATATCAGGGCCCTGAACGCAGAGGCAGGCTGTGAAACCACCTTTCTGAAAGCATCCAAGCCCCACTAAGGGTCTCCAGAAGTCACCATGACTTCCAGGCACACATGTACACACACACACGAAGAAGAAGAGCTTCTAGTGTCCTGGCCCCACTGCTGGACCTCCTGAGGGCACCTGGTATTTTTGGCCACTGTGTGACAGAGTGTTGGACTGGATGGGCCATTGGCCCGATCCAACATTGGCTTCTCTTATGTTCTTAAGAGGAGGAGATTGGATTTATTCCCCGCCCTTCACTCGTAGTCTCAGAGCGCCTTACAGACTCCTTTCCCTTCCCCTCCCCACCACAGACACCCTGTGAGGCAGGTGGGGCTGAGAGAGCTCTGACAGAAACTGCTCTTTTTTAAGAACAGCTCTGACAGAACTATGGCTTGCCCAAGGTCATCCAGCCAGGTGCAAGTGGAGGAGTGGGGAATCAAACCCGGCTCTCCCAGATTAGAGTCCGCGCACTTAACCAGTACACCAAACTGGCTCTCATAGCTGGCACAAAGGGACATATGAAAGTGGCCGACCCCTGCCCCCAGTTCTTCAAACCAACTGAGTGCGTGGACCAGAACACATTCCCACAATCCTTTGCACATTCTGCTGCAAACCCAGGTTGCTTTCACAAGCCGAGACCGCTCTGTACCGGTCATTCGCAACTAGGTTTCCCTATGCAGATAAGAGAAGCATCCATCGCATACCGTCGCTATAACATGATGACTGTGTTAACATCAAGCAGTGTGTGGACACATAGCAGCGGCAGAAAGAGAAAGTGGAAGAAACGAATCTCTGTCATATCACACACACACACACATACAAGGGGTTTCCCAGTTCCTTCTCATCTTCAGACAGAGCTGTCAAGACATTCACAGATAATATCTTCTTTTAATGAAAGAGGGTTCCAAAATGAAAAACCCAGCTCCTCAGCCACGGTTTAAAATTTAAGGAGCCCCTTTCTGTTTCGGCAACCTGCCGGAGACAGGAGGCGCCAAGAGGTCTCTTTAAAAGAACTCCACCGAGGGAGTGATCTTTTCATCGTACGAAGCCGCTCAGGAAGGTCTCTTCAGTCAGGCCCCCCACCCCCCAGGCAGCGAGGGACCAGAAGCTATAAAATATTTAGCTGCCGTTGTTGACAAGAAATTGTTTCTAAGAGGTGGAAGGGAAAGGGAAAAATTCCCCTGCCGTTTCCGAATAAACCCACGTTCTCGACGCTAACTCGAGGCTGCGAGCGCAGCGCTCGCTCTGAAGACCGTTGGGAAGGCAGAGCGGAGCATGCATTATTGAAGGGGGGGGGAGCCACGGGCTGTCATGTTTTACCACAGGAAGGGTTAAGGAGGGCCAGGAGCCAAAAGGAAGACATAAATGAGGAACCGTAGCACACAGCTGAGTTCTGTGGAGGGCAGGGTGAGACGTCTTCGGACTGAGGGGGCGGGGAAGTGGGCAGCTGTCTGGTAGGAACGTCCCTCTGTGTTTAAAACAATCTTCCACGTTAAAAAAAAAGAAGAAATGTCAGGAAGAAGAGTACTGATATAGTCTTCTCGCCGATATGCTAGCTTTCGGCGTGGAGGGATTTTATGCCTGCTTGAAGGGGTTTATTTAATCAATTTATTTGTTTAATCTCAGAGTTGGAAGGGACCACGAGGGTTATCTAGCCCAACCCCCTGCCAACGCAGGAGCTATGGCTACATCCCCGACATGTAGATATCCAACAAATACTTTAAAACCTCCAAAGACGAAGAATCCGCCATTCCATGAGGGAGACTGTTCCAGGGTCTGTGACTGGCTGCTAACCATGGTGACTAAAGGACACCTCTGCATTCAGAGGCACTAATCCTCTGAATCCAAGAGCCCGGAGTCAGCATTAGGGGAAGGTCTGATCCACCACTGGTCTGATCCAGCAGGGATCTTCTTAGGTTCCTATCAGGGGAAGGCCTCGGCCTCCAGTGCCTGTTGTTGGCCCTCCAGAGGAACTGGTTGGCCACTGTGTGGGACAGGATGCTGGATTAGATAGACCCTCACTGGTCCGATCCAGCAGGGCTTGATTTATGTTCTTATCAGGGGAAGGCCTCTATGCCCTGTTGTTGGCCATCCAGAGGAACCAGATGGCCCCTGTGTGAGACAAGATGCTGTACTAGATGGACCACTGGACTGATCCAGCAGGGCTCTTCTTATGTTCTTAGGGTCAAACACACCTCAGCATCAGGACGTTCTTCCTCAAATTTAGACAAAACTTCCTTTTTCTGTAGTTTATAGCCATTAGTCCAAGTCCTGTCATCCAACACAACTGAAAACATGTCCGCCCCATCCTCCGCATGGCATCCACTTCGTTATCGGAATGTGGCAATCGTGTCACCTCACAAATATCTCCAAGTCTCTTCAGTTACAGCGAGTTCTCACCTACAGTCTAGCCGAGGGATAGATTTACCCCTTCACTGAGGACAAGGCCTACCACAGAGGCTCATGGCAGACTGGAGCATTCTCCTCCTTGCCACAGCGTCTCTTGCGGGACTGTTACTTCTAACACAGGCTGGGTGACGCCGCAGCCTTTCCCCATCATTCCGTCAAGTACTAACCTCTCGGTCAGGGGTGGCAATAAGTTTCAGTTCGGTCAGGTAGTTGCTGGGTTCCAGGGCCCAAGGAAGAGTCCTTGGCGGACCAGGATGGGCTCACCACCAGACCCGGATCAACTACCACGATGGTGGTTGCAAGCATGCAACTGCTTCCACTTCCTTCCTTGGATCTCTGGCGGAGGAGCTGAGGGAGCACAAGAACATAAGAGAGAAGCGAATGTTGGATCAGGCCAGTGGCCCATCCAGTCCAACACTCTATGTGTCACACAGTGGCCAAAAATACCAGGTGCCATCAGGAGGTCCACCAGTGGGGCCAGGACACTAGGAGCCCTCCCACTGTTGACCCCCCCCCAAGCACCAAGAATACAGAGCATCCCTTGCCCCAGACCGAGAGTCCCTATCTATACCTTGTGGCTAATAGCCACTGATGGACCTCTGCTCCATACGTTTATTTAATTCCCTCTTGAAGCCGTCCATGCTTGTAGCCACCGTCACCTCCTGTGGCAGTGAATTCTATGTGTCAATCACTCTTTGGGTGAAGAAGTACTTCCTTTTATCCGCTCTAACCCGACTGCTCAGCAATTTCATGGAGTGCCCATGAGTTCTCGTATTGTGAGAAAGGGAGAAAAGCACTTCTTTCTCAACCTGCTCTGTTCCATGCATAGTCTTATAAACCTCGATCATGTCACCCCTCAGCCGCCGTTTCTCCAAGCTAAAGAGCCCCAAGCACTTTAACCTTTCTTCATCCGTCTAGAGTGGCCTACTGACCTGGCGGTCAACCCAATGGACAATTCCTTGTACGTCCTCGACAATAACGTCGTCTTGCAAATCTCGGAAAACCACCAAGTGCGCATTGTGGCAGGAAGGCCAATGCACTGCCAGGTCCCAGGTATTGATCACTTCCTCCTCAGTAAGGTGGCTATTCACGCTACCTTGGAGTCGGCCACAGCCCTGACCGTCTCCCACAACGGTGTCCTGTACATCGCGGAGACCGATGAGAAGAAGATCAACCGTATCCGGCAGGTCACCACCAACGGGGAGATCTCGCTGGTGGCCGGCGCTCCGAGCGGCTGCGATTGCAAGAATGATGCCAACTGCGATTGCTTTTCTGGGGACGACGGATACGCCAAGGATGCCAAACTCAACGCCCCGTCGTCCCTCGCGGTGTGCGCAGACGGCGAACTGTATGTGGCCGATCTCGGGAACATCCGGATCCGCTTCATCCGGAAGAACAAGCCGTTTCTGAACACGCAGAACTTATACGAGCTGTCCTCCCCCATCGATCAGGAACTCTACTTATTCGACACCAGTGGCAAGCACCTGTTCACTCAGAGTCTCACTACCGGGGACTACCTTTACAACTTTACCTACACAGGAGACGGGGACATAACCCTGATTACCGACAACAATGGCAACCTGGTCAACATCCGGAGAGATTCGACAGGGATGCCGCTCTTGCTGGTAGTGCCAGATGGCCAAGTCTACTGGCTAACCATGGGCACCAACAGCGCCCTCAAGAGTGTGACGGCCCAGGGGAACGAAGTGGCCATGATGACGTATCACGGCATCTCGGGTCTCCTGGCTACGAAGAGCAACGAAAACGGGTGGACGACATTTTACGAGTGAGTATCTGTGGGGACTCCGAACCTAATCCCAGACTGCATCTCGTCACTGTGGGACAGATTTCAGTAGGTGGAATTCACCACTTGCTAAAATCATGTTTGTAGCCTAAACTAAGCCCCACTGTGGACCCTCCTTACCAGTGAAAGCAGGGCCGCGGTAGGTGGAATTCACCACTTGCTAAAATCGTGTTTGTAGCCTAAATTATGCCCCACTGTGGACCCTCCTTACCACTGAAAGCAGGGCCGTGGCTACAGTGGAGAATTTTGGGGCCTGGCCCCTCGGCTTCCTACCGAAGCCCCACAACTTCCATCTAGCCCAGGCCCCCCACTGCCACTACCCCTTCCCCAAACAAACGTCAGTGCCCCCCCCCAGTTATTTAAAGGCCCCCTGAATTACAAAATCCTGGCTACGGGCCTGACTGAAAGCTGACATTCGAACGAGTCGGGAGTGGTGATTTGCATGTCTGCTCTTTTCCTTGAGTGTGGTAGCCATTTCTCAGGCTCCCTGTCTGGAACTGAACCCTGATTCCCTGTTACCCATAGTCGCCATAATAGGCACAGGAAGTACGGTCCAAAGTTAATAGCAAAGGCATTTAGATGGGTTAGGAAAGGGTAATTTGCATGCCTTCTGCCTTCCTTGGATGTGGTAACCATTTCTCAGGAGAGCCAGTTTGGGGTAGTGGTTAAGTGCGCGGACTCTAATCTGGGAGAACCGGGTTTGATTCCCCCACTCCTCCACTTGCAGCTGCTGGATGACCTTGGGCAAGCCATCGTTCTGGCACAGCTAGTGTTGAAAAAGAGCAGTTTCTGTCAGAGCTCTCTCAGCCCCACCTACCTCACAGGGTGTCTGTTGTGGGGAGGGGAAGTGAAAGGAGTTTGTAAGCCCCTCTGAGACACCTTTGGGTAGTGAAGGGCGGGGTATAAATCCAATCTCCTCTCCTCCTTCTCCTCCCTCTCCAGGCTCGAACCTTGATTCCCCATTACCTGTGGTCACCACAGTAGACAAAGAAAGTACTATTGAAAGTTGATATGGCAGGCATTTGAATAGGTTGGGGGTGGGTTATTTGCATGCCTCCAGACTTCCTAAGATATGGTAGCTGCATCTCAGGCTCCATATCCAGAATCGAACCCTGATTCCCGTTACCCATAGATCACTACAGAAAGTACCATCAAAAGTTGATAGTACTTAACCACTACCAAGCAAGTTTGAGATGGGAAAAGATAAAGGGATAGCAGACAGAGCTGGCAGTGTGAGGTGCGAAATGTGCCCAAGCCTAACCATTTTGGAATTTGAGCCCAGACAGGTGTCAGATCGCCAGGGGTCATATTGCCAAACATTCGTACTTGAAACCACAGTGATTCGTTTTGAAAGTCTTGCCCCATCACTAGTTACTAACGCAGGGGATCCAGCCCAATGCCACCTTTCTTTCGACTCTTGTTCACTGAAAGCGCTGATGCGCTAATTCTAAATTCAGCAGTCTCGTAGATACTTTTTTCTCGTAGATAATTTTCCAAACTATCATTTAGTTACCGAAGACCTGCCAGAAAGTCAGAAAAAATCGGGGGAATGGAAGGATTGGTGCTTCTGGAGCCACTGCCTCCGTTCCCAAGGAAAGACTCCATTCTATGCCAGTAATGTGACAAATGACAATGTCGGAGGTTCACAAGCAAACAACTAGGTCTCGTAAGCACCCGGTCCCACTCTAATTCTGTGCGACGAACCTTGGCTGAGTGCCTTTCCGTTTGGGGGGTCCGACAGATGGCCGTGGTTCCTTTTGTCAGGCTAATAATCACCAGTGATTGCAAAAGCCCAGGCAGTTCCGTCAGACGGCAAAGGGTCTGCATTAGCGGGTGATGGATTCATCGCTGCGCCTAGCCGGCTACTAGGTACCTTCCCCCGTACCTTGGCATTTGTCCTTAATTCTAGTGCGAGTCTGAGCATTAAGAGAACACGAGAATACGAGGATGTGATGGAGGCCAGACTCCCTCTAAATCCTTCGGCTGCGAAAGTAGGGCCTAGCTGGATTAGCCGAAATGAATTGACGGGGGGGAGGTTTTGTCTCCCGACAAATACCAGGATACACCTGCTGCTACAGGAGTGCAATTTGCTTAGCCTGCTTTCCCAAAACTGAATTATGTTGCAGTTAAGTGCTTCAACGGAGGCCAGAGGGAGAGATGAATGGAGATGGAACATCCACATCACTCCAGGTTTTTTTTAAAAAAACATTTTTATTAATTTCATAGATAGTTACTACAGAATGAAGAATTAAAAAAAGAACAAAGAATAGAACAGAAAAATCTGACAAAACGGAGACTGTACTCTTACATCGACTCTAGTTTGCAATATAATTGTAGAATCTTCTTCTTTTACGCCATATCTGTAAAGTTTTTGTCGTAATTCATGCATTTAAGTTCTGTAAGGTATTTTTGCATCCAATTATAAAATCTCACCCATTTTCTTTCAGAGTTTCCTTCTTGTTTTTCATCTAGTTGTAAAGTTAGTTTGTCCATTTCTGCTGCATCTAAAAGTCTAAAAATCAACTCTTCTTTTGTAGGTGTCTCTTCTTTTTTCCAATATTTTGCATCAGTTTTACCTGATTTTGAACTAGAGGGTGGGTTTTTTGTTTCTTTTAAAAGGGGGCAGTCAATTAAAGTTGACTTCTGCCGTGGTTCTCTCCCACTGAACCACTCCCGTGAATGCAGTCATTCTTTGAAGTCGAGGAGTCTCATATTTACAGTATCACAGGATTTCCCTTTTTAATTTTTTTAGAATTTATTTGTTTGTTTGTTTGTTTGTTTCAATGTATATTCCACCCTCCCCACAAGCAAGCTCAGGGTGAGTCACAGAACAAAAAATAAAATTACAATACTGATAATTGTATTGTTTTAATGTTGATTATTGTATTGTTTTAATATTGTTTTAAATTGGTTTCAGTGGTCATTGTATATTGTTTTAACACTGATGGAACCCGTCCTGAGCCAGCTTGTAGGGAAGGCAGAATACAAGTTTAATAAAATAAAATAAATACATTGTTAAATATAAAAACAATTAAAACAACATAAACAGCATAAAACAACCAGTGTTCCCTCTAAGCTGAGTTAATGTGAGCTATCTCACTGTTTTTTAGCCTCCGGCTCACACATTTTCCTCTTAGTTCAGGAAAGATGGCTCCAGAGCAAACTAATTTATGCAGCAGCCAAATTGCTCGCTCACAACTTTAATGCCAGTAGCTCACAAAGTAGAATTTTTACTCACAAGACTCCACAGCTTAGAAGGCACATTGATTAAAACAGGTCACAATGTTCGTATGCACAGATTTCAAGCGGGTGCCATTTTCTTCTTCTTAATCTGGGCCACGTAAAGGTATTTATTTACTTACTTTATTTATAATCCACCTTCCTCGCTGACATTCAATATGGTTTACAAAGCAATTTAATAGGAAAAGAATAAAGATATGTCATAAACTTTGCAATAAGATTACAGACTTCGAAAACAACGGAATCAGAACAGTACAAGTAAGGTTGCTAACTTCCAGGTGGAGGCTGGAGATCTGCTGGGATTACAACTGATTTCTAGGCGATAGAGATCGGTTCATTTGGAGAAAATGGCTACTTTGGAAGGCGGAGTCTGTGGCATTATATCCCATTGAAGTCCTTCCTCTACCCAGGCTCCGCCCCCAAAATCTCCAGGTATTTCCCAACCCAGAGCTGGCAACTCAAACTCTAAGGCATGACGTAAGTACTGCTTGATTCCCCACTCCTTCACATGCAGCTGCTGTCGTGACCTTGGTTCAGTCACAAGTTCCCTCAGAGCTGTTCTCTCATGAGCTGTTCTCTCATGAGCCGTCCTCGAAAGAGCTCTCAGCCCCACCTACCTCACAGGGTGTGCATTGTGGGGAGGGGAAGCGAAAGGAGATTGTAAGCCGCTCTGAGACTCCTTCGGGTAGTGAAGGGCGGGGTATAAATCCAGTCTCCGGGAAGGGAAAGGAGATTGTAAGCCGCTCTGAGACTCCAAGTGAAGGGCAAGGGGAATAAATTCCTCCTCCTCCTCCTCCTCCTCCTCCTTGTCGTCGTCATCGTCTTCTTCTTCATGGACCAGTGGTCTGATTCAGTGTACCTGCGTACCTGACAGGGTTCTTGTGAGGATGAAATGGGGGAGAAGCAAACCATATACTCCACCCTGAGCTCTGTGGAGATCAGGTGGGATTAAGAAGATACAATAGACATTGCTTCCAAGCCCCAAGGGCTCTAGAAGCTTATTTTCATTTTTTTCCTAAAAAGCAGGTGTCCTTGTGATGCCCAGTCGTCTGTCCGTGTTTAAGTTCTTCACTGAAGCATTGCGATCTCAAAAAGCAGATATACGCACACACCCTCTGATGACTTCTGCAGAGGGTCACAACAAGCTCTAGGTTGGGAAGTACCTGGAGATTTTGAGGAGGAGGAGAGGAGATTGGATTTATACCCCGCCCTTCACTTGGAGTCTCAGAGCGGCTTACAAACTCCTTTCCCTTCCCCTCCCCACAACTGATAAAATTATTACAATGCACTAATAAAGCAACCAATCCAGAATGGCGAGCAATACCTTTTTTGCTGGCTCGTGCACCAAGTTGTCATTGAACTGGAAAGCTCTGGAGAGGGAGCAGTGTTCTGTTAAAGCAGATTAGAGTCTGGTTGCACCTTAGATCCTGTGGGCCATGCATGCAAGGCACACTGCCCTGACCTGGATGGCCCAGGCTAGCCCAGTCCCGCCAGATCCCAGAAGCCAAGGAGGGTCAGCCCCAGCCAGCACCCAGAAGGGCGACCTCCAAGGAACACTAAGTTCATGACGAGAGGCAGGCAATGGCAAACCACCTCTGAAATGTCTCTTGCCTTACGAAAGCAAGGGGGTTGGAGTGGGTGACCTCTAGGATCCCTTCTAACTCTGTGTCAAGAAACTGGTCTCCTTTATGAGAGTTTTTCTGCCTAAGTGTTAGCTTTCTTGACTATAGAAGTCATCACCCCCCACTTGCCAGTTTGTTCTCAGAATTTTCTCTTAGGCTGGCCGAAGTGATTAACTTGCAGCAGCTGAGAACTGTCATCTAAGGTGGTTGACAGCTTGCAACTTAGAGGTCTATCCTGATAACAACTTTCTTTTGGCTAAATGGCTAATAGGCTAAGGGTGACGGCTAGCATAAGAACACCCATGTAGAATAGAGAGCTCGAGAAGACTCAGAGAGAGAGAAGAGGAGGAGCTGAGTCATAATCCTCAGAATTCTGGCTTTTCTTTCTGCACTGAGAACTTCAGCCCCACCAGGAAAAAAATTGCCCCACAAGCCACGAACTCCTGGCTGCAGGCCTGGTCTGGTCTATTAAAGCTACTGCATGCAAAACAAACAGCTACAGGATTTGTCCCTTTGCAGAAGTGTCTAAGAGAGGCGAAAGAGAAACGGGGAGTGTTAGATGTCGCAGGCAGAGATGGTGCATCTCTACTCTGGCAGCTCCACTCAAAGAACGAAGATGAGTGGATATTAACCAGTTCCCAGAGATTCATTTCCTGTAGGGTTGCCAAATCCTTTTAACTCACCAGCGGGGGAGGCTCCGTCCCGGCCGGGAGTTCGGCGTTCGTTCTTGCGCGCGCGCCGGCGCGACGTCACCGGAAGTGACGTCAGACGTCGCTGACGTTGGGGGCGTGGCCGAGCTCGTCGGGGGGAAAACATGGTTT